AGGGAGAGATTTGGAAACAAACTTCACACACGCAGGCTGGTCAGGAGCTGACAAAAAATTCAAGCCCCAGGTAGTGTCCAGGAACAGCAAGCATCCTTGCAGAAATCCCAGCATGGCTACCTCCTCACTCCCAGCAGCTGGAGATTGTAAGGGCACTAGAGTTTCCCAATATGGGATTTTCCCCATAACTTTAATTGATGCACCATTCACTCCTCTTTCATATCATCCTCTGGTTAGTGGGCATCTGATAAGTTTTTGAAGCCCTAGTTAGGGATGTGAATGGGTTAATTGGTTACCCAGTAAGCATCACCTTTACAGGGGTGATAATTACCGGGTACCAGTTAAATGTTACCCAGGAGCAGCCCATCACAGCTGGGGGGCAGCTACAGCCCCTCAGGGTTTAGGAGCTGCCCACCCCATGTGTGGGAGCAGAAGCCAGCATCCTGGTGGACTTGGGGGAGGGGGAGAGGCTGCTCCAGCTGGGCTAGAGTGGTGCCACCTGGGATCCCACTTAATTGGTTAAGCCAAAGGTTTAATCCGCTATCTGATTAACCAGGATTTGACATCCCTAGCTCTGGTTATGATTGTTTGTGTTTTTCACAACTTTACCAAGGATCATAACGTATAATCACTAGATTTAATTTAAAATAATTAAATACTGAGAACACAAATGTCAGGTTTTTTTAATTATAAGCTCTCTGGGGCAAGAAGTCTGATCTTTCAGATTACAAAATGCACTGTACACTTAACACAAGAATAAGTACTAATGTTTTAAAATTATTAATAAGCCAAATATTCTGCCTTCAAAACTAGGGTTTTGTTAGATATATTTAACTAATGATGCTTTACTTAAAGGTCACACCTGGCCACAGATCTAACAATGGTACCTTTTTGCCTTTTCAATGTTCCGTGTGATAAGGTCATTATCCATGTAAAACAAGCCAATTCTAAGAAGATAGAACACAATATCCAGACGATGTCCCAGTGCCACAGTTTTGTCATATGTCTTCCGGAAAGCAGTCAGAGCTCCTTCCTAAAGAGACAGAATTTTCTAAAATTAGAACATAAAAAAGAACTGGTACCTCACTAAAATGGTTTATCAAGAGACGCTGTCTTCGGTGTTACCAGGAAAGTATACAGTTTTACCGTCCTGAAAAACATTTTAGCGGTACTCGGGCCAAAAATATACAGGCAAGTGAAATGGGGTCTTGGCACTTAAAAAAACCTGGCAGCCATCTTAAAAAAACAGTTTAAACTAAGATAGCATGCTCTGACCAAGCTGTACCAGCCATAACAGAACTGTATATCCCAAATAATAGAAATACCAACCTTCTTCGAAAAAAGAAATTAACATTCAAAACTTGTCAGTTTAAACATAAAGTTCCAAAAGTTACTCCCAAATTAGCTTGAATCCCTAATGATTGTACGAATCCAATGGCTAACTCATATTACATATGCAATTACAACGCAAGAGCTTAAAAACAAAACAGACAGGTAACAAACATTAGGTAGGTAGAAAACACTGTCTATAAAATATTTTGAAAACTTTTAAATGGCGAACTTTTATTTGTTCTTTTTAGTTTGCCTTTCACTTCCTACTTTTATAGCCCTTTTCTTTCTCTTGCTGCCTTGTTTACATCTCACCATTCACCCCACCCAGATGTGGTTCGATTTCCTCCAGATCATGAGTCAGCAGGCCTCCTCTAAATATACAGCATGCATAGTCATTTGTCTAGTTTGAAAGACAATAAATGATTTTAAATGACAGCAGCCCAAGAAAATCTGGTCTTTTAACTCACCTTGTCCCCAATCCGGCACAGGTACTCAGCTTTGGCCATCATTGCATCACGGATTTCGCTCTCCCCCAAGATCTTTTCAGCATCTTCCAGTTCATTGTCAAGACGTTTTAATTCTTCTTCATTCGCCTTCTTCATCTTAGTCAACAGCTCCATGTCCATCGGCCAGTCAAGTGGCTTGCAGAGTGCTTCATAGTACGGGGCCATATCTGAAAGTGAACGGGGATAGCTCTTGCTGACATGACCATCGCCGCACAGTCACACAGCGATAGCCTGAAGTGCTAAAGGAAGACTCCCAGATGAGTTACCAGGCGGGTACCTCTTACAAAGGCCGTTTAGACCCTGGGCAGGGAAGAGTGTTTCAGTTTCTCTTCCTAGGCGCCAGCCTCCTGCTTGGTCTGCAGGACTCATTCACTCCCTTGTGCCAACCGGCTCTTTGGCTACAGCCGCCTGGGCCCTTCGCCTGCCCCCAGCCCGACACAGGGGCCATGTCCCTGCACCACGCGGCCCTGGT